TTCGCATCGACCACGACCGAGGAAAAGTTTCTGGAGCGCTCCGGGGCGGTGAACTTGAGAGTTTAAACATGGATATGTGTACTGTCACTGGGGCTTGTCAGCTTCCTGGCTTCTTGGCTTCGCGGATTCGCGGCTTCTTGCCTTCTTGGCTTCTTGGCTTTTCGGTTTCTTTCTTCTCGGTTTCTTGGCTTCTCGGCTTCTTGGTAATATGTGTGTGTGTGTGTGTGTGTGTGTGTGCTATTACTAATACAATATATTATGCTTAGTATTATCATCATTATTGCTAGTATTCCTCCTAGGACCATCAGTAATACTAGGACTACCAGTACTATGGTTCTATATAGTCTTATTACCATTGCATGTATGAATATAGATGAATATAGATGAACATTTATATATGTATTCTCTCTGTCCCTTTATCTCATATGATGTTCATGAGCACAGCTTTATGTACGTATATATGTATATACACACCGCGTATCTGGCTCTCTATCTATCTGTCTATCTATCCGTCTATACATAAATGCATATGTATATATATATATATATATATATGTAGAATGTCAACCTAAACCCCAAACCTCAAGTCCAAACTTGAAGTGTTTGCGCCGATTATTATTACTGCTAATCTAATCTTACTATTACTATTACTATTGTTATTGCTAGAAGTATTAGAGTTAGTGCTAGTATTCGTATAGTATTACTGGTGCTATAACTCTGACGGCCACCCCAATAGTGCGACTGCAGGTGCGGCCGTCCCAGCGTAGCCGGTTCCGTCTTCTGCATGCGAGATGCTCTTAAATCCAAGGTCTGAAGCAGCCTACAGACTTCACAGATACTTCCGATCATTAGTCATAGACCCACTCCGGTGCATTGCAGCATCTCTCGTTTCGCATGCATCGAATCTTCGGCAGCTTGCGTTGCACCCGCCGCCCCGTCGGTTTCACTGCTGGGCGGCAATCGTGAGACTGTTGAAAACAAAACAAACCTCTCGCGGTTTGTTTGAAACACCGTTTCACATGGGCAACAAACAAAACTTTCGCGATTTTTTTGAAACAGTGTTTGACAGTGAAAGCAAAAAACGCTCACGATATTTTCGAATCACCGTTTGACATTTGCAATAAACAAAACTCTCGCGATGTTTTGAAACACTGTTTGACAGGAACAAAGCTCTCGCGATTAAAATGAGAACCTCCTTCACACGAAAGACAAGATTCTGTGGATTTTTCCCGAAACATTGTTTGACCTTAACTTAAAACAGAACAATATTTCATTTGAAAACTGATGCGGTTTTTTGACAAGTAGCATTTTGGCTTAAGACAGCAGAATAGAGTCACGCAGTCGCCGCCAGGAAAATACAAATCTGCACAAATGCTTCTGTGCATTGTCGCAGCTTGTCCATAGAGACCCGAAAGGAAATTGACTCGCGTGTGCATTTTACTAGTGCCGCCCTATGGACGGAGAAAATGGAAATTCCGTTGGCTTTGTTTCTGCGGGCGCAGAATGGTACGAAAACTGCTATGGGGGGCCATACTATGCACATTCGAAAAAACGACGCCGAAAGTGCAGAACCAAGTTTGTACTTCGTGCTTCCGGCCAGTATGTCAGGAGCAAAACTTTCGCATTATTTTTGTAAATGTTTCTGAAACGATCTCGAACTCGCGCACACTTGATGCTCACAGTTTGCTGCCCTTAGTGCCCTGTGCTGCCGATTACTGCCTTGTACTGCCTGCCCTTTACTGCCCCTTTTCTCCTCTGCCGCCCTTTGCTGCCTTTTGCTGCCGTTTACTGCCCTTTACTGCGGAGGGAGTATTTTTTCAGTAATTTTTTATTCGCTGGGTGGGCAATGAAGGAAGGAAGGAAGCAAGGAATTCCGGGAGAAAGGAAGGAAGAAAGGAAGGAGGGACGGAAGGAAGGAAGGCACCAAGGAAGGAGAATCAAAGGAAGCAAGAAAGGAAGGAAGACAGATAAGAAGGAACGAACGGAAAACCTCGGAAGGAAGGAAGGAATGCCGATGATGATGCCATGCTGCAACATGATGCGGTCTCCCGACTGTTGCAAAGTCTGTCCATGCAGCAATGGGCACCAGCTGTGCTGCAGGAACAGCTAAGCCTGGATGATCTTGCAAGTATGACCTTTGCAGAATTGCGGTTGGCGCTCCCTGCTTGCATTCCCAGCGGCGTCGTGCGTCGTCTGCAGCAAGCAGCCCAAAACCTGCCAGCATCCTCCACCAGAAAGTCACCCCAGGCCTGGATTTTCGGCATTTCTTGCAACGCCGCTTGTTTTCCGCTATGTTGTGTTACAAGCGTCTTCTGGGAAAGGCATCTGACGTCCTGGAGGTCCGAGTGCCAAGCGCAGCGATTCCTGTAGAATGCAGCATCCTGGTGCAGATTTCTGTGCCTGTCTTGCAAGGCCGCGGAAGCACCGCAAAGCCGCCCGCAGCAGAAGGTCCGTTGTTCTCAGCTACCGACCGCGCTTGTGTTCGTCTGCTTTTTTGTTGTGCCTTCCCAAAGCCTCTGAAGACCAAGGGTCTGTGCGGAGTAAGGTCGGGCTCCCAGTTCGCCTTCGTGCAGGTAGAACCAACCGACCCCGATTTGCGCTCAGGAAGCGTCTTTACTTGCTGCCCGTGCTCCCGGCCAGGCCCGGCTCCCAGCTTCTCTTGGTTTGGTTTCTTGGTGACGCAACCTTGACATGTGTATCTCTGTGCCTTCTGCCGGAACCTGCAAGGCCGAATCCGCAACCACGCCGGAACGAGATGCTCGGAAGGCATTAGCTTTCAGCAACTACCTGGCAGCCACACGAGGCTGACCGCTGAGCATCTCGGCCATGCAGCGACAAAAAATGGATGCCTGGGCGTGCGTCATTATGCACATGCAGGATTGATTCAGTCAATTGAGCCAAAGCATCTTAGCCCGAACAGTAGGCCAAGTCGCGAACCACTGTTGCCCCCAAGTGCTGGCGACTTCCGAATCACGTCCAACATGGTTTCCCCCCGCGTGCTGGTGCTATTCCTGGATCTAAGCCTGCAGTGGTCCATGTGTTGGATCCTTTGGAGAATGCCATCAGCAACTTGCCACGGCGGCAGGATCATTCCTGGCAACTATAAGGCTGTTTCTGCGCGCGCAGCCATGGCCAGCGCACCAAACCTCCGAACCCTCGACGCTGTACCACGCTTCGCACGGATCTTTTGGAGAACATAATCAGCAACGTGCCACAGCGGCAGGCTTATTCCTGGCAACCGAGGCTGTTTCTGCGCACGCAGCCATGGCCAGCAAATGTGAACGTTTGCACCTCTACTCTGTACCATGCTTTTCTGGCTTTGACACAATGGTGTCGCAAAGTTCCGATTCTGAACTATTGAAATCTCATCCTGGCAACTAGTGCTGTTTAGAGCACGCAGCCACGGCCAGCAACTCTGGCTACACCAGCCGTTGGAACCCTCTACGCTGTACCACACTTTGCTGGCTTTAACACCATGGTCTCGCAAAGGTCCGACCCGGGACTATTGAAGCCTTTTTACAGAAATGTTTTAATTTGTTTTTGATACGTCCTCAATTCTTTATCCGCGATTCCCGCGAACCGTGCTATTGTTTGCAGCAGATCCCCAAACCCTAAGTTTGTTTTCGATCCTTCCTGAACTTTTTTTGATCGGTTGAGCCTAAATTTGTTTTTGATCCATGTTAAAGTTGTTTTGATCCTCCACCCATCAGTGGACCCCCATCTCAAAAAACCCCTCAGCACGCCTTACACAGATCTTTCAAATTCACTGGCATCTTAAGAACTGACGTGCCAGTAAGCCGTTCATTCGACCATCCAAATTGCCGGTTCAATCGGCTTGGTTGGGGACTTGGGGTTCGATCGAAAGCATGCTCTGCACCCCATAGACGGTTGGTGGAAAGCAGCAACTTTTTGTTCCCATCTCGAACCCCGGACGACACAGTAAGTGCACCTTCTTGCCGCGTGCGTTGAACTTCGCCGATGCGCTTCCACAGGGCTGCCAAATTTGGGAAACGTTGGGCGACACTCGGACGGCAGGATTCAGGAAACGCAACCGGAAGAGCCAATTCAGACAACTCGGGCACGAGATGACGACATATCAGAAACCGGAGTACAGCAAACTCCCAAACCTTCCGAACGAGACCTCCGAGGACATGAAATGCAACACTGCCCAAGGCGGCACTTCGCCAACAGGAAACATCCGGAGAAGATTCTCACAAGGAGAAGTAGCTTCCCGACTGCTTTCACCGAGAGGGACAGCTTATAAGATACTGTAAACCTACAGCTGCACTTGCGACTGCACCTTCGACGGCGGACACTGCGGCGACCGCACCTTCCAAAGGCCAACGACAACCAGGGCACAGCGGGAGATGAAGCAGACGAATATGCATTGCACGATTTGTGGGCAGCCCTCTCAACTAGTCCCAAGCTTCATCATTCCTGCACGAACCTATGGGCTCAATTCGGTGTAATCCGCACGGTTCGACTATCCCTTTAAAGCCCTAGTGGCGAAGCTCACTTTGGAGCCAGAGACGCGTTCGTATTCGGGAGATTGCACAAGGTCATACAGGGTCTCGGGAGGGGTTGTTGGACGAATCTCTTCTCACAACTCCATTTTCAGAATCCTCAGCACTGGTGCATGGGGTGCCAAGGGCCTGACTTGTCCTTCAGTTCTTCCGTCAGGAAACAATATTTTCTGGGTCACCACAAGACGAAAAGAAAGACTTATTCTGCGTACAGGGAGAGAAAGCATAGAGCTTTGATTTTCTAGTCGGAGGCAGGATTTAAGCTAGGGGCGAGTGGTTTAGAGGTCACACCGTCGCTGCATTGCTATCAGCTTTGCTTTTACCCCACGACGGGAGCCCAATGCTTGCCCTTGATAAGAGTTAGCAGAGGGACCAGACGGGTGGCCAGCCGTGTTTGCGGAAGTGGACCACACACCGTCAACTACGCTGTACCTTTAGTCGCCTACAGCGGCGCAAGCCTTGCCCCCATCACAGGCCATGTTTGACTACGATGACTTGGACATGGCCGAGGATGTTAAGCAGGCAGTGGAAACGGAGCACAGTTGCACCAGACCAGTTGTGGAAATGTGTTAGCGCTTGACACTGTTACGATGCAGGTGGCGATGACTGCGCCGGCACAGGAAAGCCTCAGGCGCACAGTTTACGTGCATGAACCGAGCTTCTGATCCGTCTTCGCAATTTTGGAGCACCTTCTGTGCCATATGGCTGGTTGGGAGCGCAGGTCGTTGGTGGCGGACATGAGTTCCCGAGTGGACAGCATCAAGGCCCGAGTGGACCAGAAGGAGCTGCCAGGTCTGCGAAGACTCGGGGGAATCTCGGCAGCTCACGCTCGGCAGGAGCGAGATCGAGTTGAAGCTCCCCATCGCCGCAGGAAGGAGGGCCGGCACTGGCAAGCTTGAACACGCACACCTGCAAATCGCTGTGCGAAGGGCTTCCGCCTCAACATAGCGGCATAGCATACCTGTTCAGCAGGCAACCGATGCTGTTTCCACGGCTTCGCGGACAGCTCATTCCCTGCGTGCTGCATGTCCGTAGGTCTCAGTTTAGCTCGGACAGCATGCCCTGCCTGGAACTTCATTGGCATTTGTGAGGCTGTCATTTGCAGAGTTCCTTGGCATCTCGCAGTCCCAGTCCAACCAGGAAGAGAGCTCTTCCAGGCTGGTTTCTTGTGCCTGGCTGTCGGAGCCGAACTGCAGCCTGGTTTGACCTATGTGCTACACAGGGGCCTTCGAGTTGCTCGCTCTCGCCCATCCGGCAAGGCACGATATCACGTGCAGCCCGGAAGTTTCACTGTACAAGGTACAAGCTCATCAAGCGTTGGATGTAGAATGATGTGGAGTGAAAATGTGCGTGGAGAGTTCACCCGGCTCGGGGTTCATCCGGCCCGGGGGCTCGAGTCAGGGAATCGGCAAGAGGAACAGGGTGGGGAGACTCCGGACACGCGCAATGCGCGAATGAATGGGCAGCATTGTTGAGCCAAGGAGGAACGAGTGCAACACAGCGAGGTGACACTATATATTTCTTTACATCCCTTTCTTGCTGCGCGGAGCAACAGGATGGTATGTGCCAGCACAGCTGGTCACGACCCCGACAATTTAGACTAGCGAGGCTGCTGCATGCGAGAACTGTCCACGTGTATCCTCACGGCTTGTCCCCTGCGCGCTCCCTGTTTGTGATAGGGTCCTGACTTTTGGATAAACACCGATGAACTTCAACTTGGCGACTGCCTGAGTCTGGCGTGACTGCTTGAGAAACTTCGTTGAAGGAGCAGCAGATGGTGGACTGCGATGAATACTTGGTCGTCTTGACGGGGGAATTTCGGTGCCCAGGCTTTCTTCAGGAACCTTTAGAAGATGCACCTTGCACTGAGATTCTGCGAGCGTTCAAATTCAGTCCCAGCTGTGCTCTGAGGTTGGAGAAGGGAGACGAGAAGATCATGCTCCGTGAAGGTGATGGCATTTTCCTTGAGGCAGAGCTGGTCAGTCTTGTACGTTTCAGCTCCTAGCACCAGAACAGCGATGCCGAACACCTGACGGCTGTTTTCCGAAAGAGAAGCTAGCCAATCAAATGGCCCGAGTTATGAGGGAGGGGTGAGCTGAATCAGCAGGCGGGCGAGAGAGTCGTTTGGACCTGGGCGCTGACCTTATGACTCTGACAGAGAGATTGGGCTGGTTTCTTGCCTGGGACGCAGCAAGATTGCTCGTCCTTGGCTTCTTCTCAGGACCGCACCGTGCAGTTCATCACCATCACTCTCCCTGAGCGTACCAGACAAGCAAAGACGACAGAGACTGGTGCGCACTCCAGTTGCTGCTGGCTTTGTGCACATTCTGCTACAGCGCTGCAGCAATCGCATGCTGGTTTGTTTTGGATGAAGCTTGATGAGAGCGAGCAGCAGAGTTCATGCCTGCCTAGTACTGGGCCTGAGGCATCCAAACAGAACCCAGCAAGGCCTGTCTGGTCCCCAGAATGTAACGAATCGATTTTTCGGAGATGCACCGGAGATCTCGATAGCTTGGGATGATATCTTTTCGAGCCTTTGGGCTTCTCGAACTTGGGCGTGTCTGACAAGACTTGTCTCGCAAAGGTGGTGAGAAGTTCTGGGCAGAAGCTAGTGAAAGAGGCCAGTGGGGGACAGCAGCGGCCGCACGTCTTCAAATTGTGTTGTTGTACTCCCTTGTCCAGCGGACGTGTAGCCTGGACAGGGAGAGTGGTCGTTGATGTTTGAGATGTGGTGTTTTGCTTTGCCGTGTGTCGTACTGTGGAGTGCACACCGGTTCAAATAGCATGCATGAGCCAGGGCAAGCCAGGAATCAGGGAATGACATATATAGCTTCATTGTGTTCTGACCTTTAAGCCTTTGTTCTGACTGAAGACTTCCCAGTCTCGGGCGGCTGTAGTTTAGGAGAGATGCTCGTGGTGCTGTTCCGTGAAGCTGTCGTGAGTCTGCAGGCTTGGCGCGGCGATGGGCCCTCAGATTCTTCCCTGGAGCTATGTTGGGCTCTGGTGCTTCGATCCGACCAAGGAGAGCCTGTGGGATTGCTCAAGAGCCGCCAGGTTGGGCGCTGAAAATCTTCAACTTCAGGGAAAGGTCACCTTCTGTTACAAGCGATGTGTAAGGCGCCAGTACCCATGCTCCGGATGCCTGGAGGGTCGAGGCCTTAATGCTTAGCCGATGGGCTCCAGGCATCTCCAGGCACTCTTTCAGCTTTCTTTCAGAGGTCTGGCGATTCAGCAGACACTACCGATATCAAAGAGGCAGTGCGTCCGTTGGTCCTGGGAGAGTCATCTCTGGGTTTGAAGGGAAGCGGCCAAGCAAGTCTCGCAGAGCAGGCCCTGAGTTTGAACGCGCACGCGTATGCACGCACGCACAGCCTCACAAGCATGCACATGCACGCAAACAGAGGTGCACAGTCGCTTTCTCGCTCGCTCCACTTCCTATGCATCGAGTGGCACTGCGACAAGACAGTTGAAGTCTACTTACACAGGTTGATGTCATGTGAAGGCCCTCGTTTACTACCCCGAAGTGCAGAGTTACCATGACTTGCCCGGGCTGGCAGTCGGAGTCGACGCCTTGCCGAAGCGATGCTACACCAGGATCTGGGCATGTAAGGTCCTCAGAGGATCACCTGATCTGGCCATGGGTGTCCTGTTCCTCACAGGCTTCGCCTGCCCCCGTTGAACGACAAGACGGCAGCAGCGAAGGCACCAAATCCGGGTTTGTGATTTCTCTTGAGTCTTAAAGGTGCTGGAAGGGGTTTCTCGTCTGCCGGCGGTCTCCGTAGGTGAACGTGTGCAAGCATGTGTCTCTTCTCTGAAGAAGTTAAAGAAGCCATGTCGGTTCTGCATTACCAGCAAGCCGCCATGTGCCCTGGGAGGCTCACGTATCCTAACATTCGTTCGCTTTGACGAAGTCTCCTTCTGCCCACCCGACTGCCCGGTGGCCCAAATCTACGCATCTTTGCCCATCTTCGACCGACGTCAACCTGAACCCATCCCTTTCGCCTCACTGCGGGAGCCACTCGTAGGGCGAAATCATAGTTGCGTCCCCAACCAAGCTCTGGAACCGGCTCGTGCTGATTTGCACGCATGCGTGGCCGGGTGTGCAATTGTGCCAAGAGACCGTGAGACCTTGAGGCTGCCGCAAGAGAGAACTTTATCTTTTATCAGGGGGACTCGTTGTCACTTTCACGCCCTTTCCGAAAGCCCCATAACACATGGGGGGCCCATGTGGCCGGGGGGCCTCGCACGCCTCCCACGCCCAGCAGAAGAAGAAGAAGAAGAGAGTCAGGGCCTGGGCCCGGGTCTCCATGCGCAGACTCATCCCCCATGAAGTGAACTGAAGTCAAGAGAGTCAGAGGAGAAATGCAGTGTTCATCACTGTTCAAGCCTTGCTGCCTGACCCCGATGTCCAGGAGAAGTATCATTGAGTATTCTACTTACCCAATTGGCTAGATCCTGAAACCCTCGGGGTCGAGTGTACCGGGCCGGAACTTGGGGATGCAAGCTTCCTCTAGCCAAGCCAGCATCTCGGGCAAAATCGGGCACTTGCAGGACCACTTCGTCACGTGACATCACTTTCTGCATTCGAGCAGCTAGCAGACAAAGCGGAGCGGCTGCGGCTCAGGCAGGAGATGGAGGAGAGGGTGCCCAGAGCAAAGCCAACATTTGATCGCTGTTGTGCGTCTGGTCGTGGGCGTGTGGAAGACCGTTGAGCCAGGAGCGCGTGACAGACCGCCCGGCGCGCTATGGAGACGGAGCCTCGGATCTGCTTCGGCTTCGCCTGGTGTGAGAGATACAGACCATGAGGCCCGACACCTCGCAACACCGGTCGTCGTTGTGTCGTCCGAGATGAACCCCTGGTCGAAAACAGGCGCCTTCGCCTCGCCTTTAGCACATCGGTGATTCCCGGTTTTTTTTCGTGATTTTCGAAGACCGGAGGCGGCCTGGCCATGGTGGTGGAAAGCTACGCATACGAGTTTGCGATGCGAGGACGGGTTCCGCCGCGTGTGCTTCTGACAACGCAAGAAGGAGACACACGGATTTCTGCATTTCAGGCCATCGGACAATGACGGTGACTCCCCGTTACGGCAACTACACCAACTGCAAGCCGGTCGGCTCGACCAAGGCACCGACATGGTGCAGTCTGTGGGGTCTGTGGAGGATTTACTTACTTAAAGCAGGTTTGGCTGGCTGGACAAGAACATGAAGTGGTTTTCTACCATCAGCGACAGGCGTTGGGGATGGGGCACTGCACGTGATTCGCTACAGCAAGAGCCAACGCCGATACTGTCGCAACCTTTCATGTTGGAAGGATTTTGGCAATGGCCGCGGCTGCGATTATGTCTTCGTAGACCACAGCTGTCAGGTTCTGAGATCTTTGGTGCTCCCAGACGATAACTGTAAACGGTTAACAGATGTGCAGGGCTCGGTACTCAGGCTTCCATCGTCCGCAAGGTCTCTATGGAGATCCTGCCAGTGGCGAGTACCCGGACAGGGATGGATGTGCACAGTCGGTGGAATCACATAAGCTTGAGAGATGGTGGTATTGCCTTCCCGTACTCATCACGAGGACAATGCTTTCCGATTCTCCTTGCTGTGTGTAGCTGCCACAGAAGCTCCATTAGTCAGCATCTGAGATGCAAGACGAGTGCAAAGGCAGAGGCAGTCTGAGGCAGTCTCACGAGACTATGCACTTCTTCTTCCCTTCACGAGTTGTGCTTTCTCCCCAAGAGCCAGCACATATCGGGGTGTAGGGTTCTCAGAAGTGGCCTTGTTTCACGGGGTGTGTCTCCCTCCGGCTAGTTTTGGTTCCTGGTGTTTCGGTGTCCGGGTCATTGCGTCTCCGTGTGGGCCCCGTTGTGGTGTCAGTCTGTTCCCTCGTTGTTCGGGTCCTCGGGTTGCCCGGTGTCCTGGCGCCTTGCTGTGGGAGAGTCCCGCTTGTCGGTGCCCATGTGCTCGCTGTCGGTGCATGTCCTCCGTTTCGTCCCAGAAGCCGCGAGAGTTGTGACTGTCGTGGAGCCCAGTGGAGCCCCGGAGCCGAGACCCCATCTTCTTGTCATCATCAATGGCGTGCCTGTCACGGAAAGGCAGCTTCGCTTCCGATGAGCCAGACATGCTAACGGAAAAAACGGTTCCTACGAGATTTGCACAGATGTGCAAGGCAGACAGATCCTGATTGAGTCTCCCTCCGCTTGTAGCTGACACCTTCTGGTATTCCACAATCTTCTTGGTTTCATTGATTCATGCACCCTGTGCCCTGTAGAGTCAGCATGATGCAGTCCTGCAAGTATCGAGGAGTCTGTGCTTGTTCTGGTTAACGCATGTCCCGTTGACTCGTTGTCGTCCTGGTGTCTCGGTGTGTCGATTTTCCAGTGTCTTCACGTGGTCAACCGCTGCCTGCATGTCTCGATGTCGCAGTCTTTGACTGCGCCGGTGTCCCGGGGCGATTTGATGTTGTGCGTGTGTTCCAGTGTTTTATCATCTTTGTTGCCCCTGTGCTTGCTCGTTCCATGCCTGTTGGTTCGCGTTGGACATGTTATTCCTGCAGGCTGGGTTTTGAGCGGACAAGTGCTTGGTGCTAGATTTTGCTTGTTACAGCTCGATAACAAGTCAATCCAATACTTCCAGCATAGCCCAGCAATAGCCTGGCGCTGGCCGAGGTCTTGAACCTGGGTGGCTCCATTTTCGGTCAAGAGGTCCATGAATGAATGGGCATGCAAGAGAAATTTTCAGTTCTCCGAACCTGGCATATCGTGCTTGGGATCTTCATGTGAAGGTCTGCTTCATTGCCAATGATTGGCAGACTGGCATGCTCCCTGTCGGGGACTCTCCGGGTCTTGACGGTATTGTAGCAGGTCCTTGTGTGACTGCAGGCTTACCTCTTCTACAAGTACAAACGGAACGGCACCTACCTCAAGGCTCGGTGAACTCCACAAGAAGAGCAGCTTTTTCCAAAGCGACTTAAGCTTTCAGGCGCGATGTCTCATGGTGCTACACAACATGGGGTATCAAGGCCTCTTGGAGCTTGTTGAGATTGGTCGAGTTGGCTTCGGTGCTGTGCTGAGGAAAATATCGGATGAGCCAGCACCCGATGGACAGGCAGCCAGAGTTTCAGAATGCTGCATCGTATCCAATGCAAAGCTTGCGCTGCTCTTGCTGCAGGTTCTTCGGGCTTCCTTCCGATGCAAGCAAGGAGTGTCAGCGAAGGGTCTGGCATGCGTAGCAGCAGCAGCAGCAGCAGCAGTGCTGAGATCTTGCTATGTGAACCACTGTCTGAAGAGGGGTGTCTACCACACGGCATGAGAGCATTTCTTGATGGGTTGGAGGACCTGGAAGGTGAAGACCTTCACTTTGGCACGGACCACTGATCTTTGTCGGGCTACGCTTCCGGGGAAGTGAGCAGCGGGGACATCCACCTGTGTGGTTTCAGCAAGACCGTGTTCATCAGCAGCCTCGCCATTTCCGGCAGAACTACGAAGTGTGTGACCTCTCATGGTGAAGGACTGTGTGAACCTCTTGGGTGCGGGCATCCGGATGGCGGATCGTGTCGTGTCGGCTCCTCGAGACTGGTCACGAGACTCGACACCGTGATCAGCTGTGGTCGGCACATGTTACTCGGCAGCTCCTGAGGACGGTCTCACCCAACTATGCCTTTGAGATCCAGACCCCAGAAGGCTTCCGTGCAGGGCATGCTAGCGTCGCCATGACACAGTTGCGTGTCTGTCTTGTGATGACTGGCGGTCTGGGGGATCGGACGCTTTGGTTAGAGAGTCAGGATGTTGAATCTTGATTATGCTGCATTGTGGAGAAGTCGTTTTGTTGTCCTGTAGGTCGTCAACTAATTTTAACGCTACGCCGCCCGCCTCGGCTGTGTAGCGGCAGGGTGAGGGGGCAGTCGATGTTTTTTTATGCTGGGGCGGCCTGTCAAACCCGATTGTTGATACGAAGTGCGAGGAATGGGTAGGGGAGGGGGGGGAGGGGGGGAGGGGGGGGGAAACCATAAACCTCTAAAGGGGTAGCTCTAACAGGTACCTACAGCAATGGCTGCATGCTCATACATATACATTCCGCTGCCCATTGGCTCACAGTGGTTTTACCATATTGAGACAAGACAAGCTCTCCTTGCGTAGCAAGACAAAACAACTACTGTCCGTGTGCAGGGCGCTGCCCTTTGATCCTTAGGGAATAACTGGTCATACACCTCCTAACAAGGAGTATTCCTTGTGGGTGTATCGGCACAGTTTTCTGGTAGCGGAGCCCGGAAAGGGCCGCCCGCCTCACAAAGTCCGCTACAGCGGTCGGCCTCGCCGAACGCTTGACCAAGCGGATAAGAGGCAGCACAATGTCGAGCTCGCATAGCGAAGCCGACGGCAGTTCCCAATCCTCCGGGGGATATGAGAACGAAGAGACCTCCCAAGGTCCAGCCACTTATGTCGCACAGTCATTTGCAACATCTGACCGCATGCTTGCATCATTAGGCATAACGCCCAAGATCGCGCCTGCCTATGATGGCACCACTTCGTGGTTTGAGTATGAACAGTTGATTGACGACTGGTGCGACATAACAACGCTGGATGACACCAAAAGAGGTCCGTCTCTCAAGACGAGGCTCTCCGGATTGGCCGCAGTACAAAAAGAATCACTAACCGAGAAAGGCTTGCAGCCCCAGATGGAGTAGATTACTTCAAGAAGAAGATGCGTCCATTTTTCGTGAAAGGAGAACAGTACGTTTTCCTGTGGCGTTTCCTCGGCCTATTCAAGGCATGGAAGGGCAACCAAGACTTTGTGACTTGGATTGCTAAGTTTGAGATCGTGCTACAGCGCGTGAAAAACTCATGGATGGATCTCTTACCAGAGATAGCTCTGGAAGATGCCCATCCAGATTTCATGCAAGCTGTGCAGGCAGACCGAACCTTCCTGGGCCTACAGGAAGCAGCCGAGAGAGACACATACGCCGCACGCTATTTCGAAACATGGAACAAGGAACGCCTTGACAATCATCGAAGAGCGTTTCCTCTGAATGATAATCTCCTAGCTCTTCTCTTCCTAGTGCAGTCCGACCTAAATGAGATGCAACGTGAGAGGTTGGTAACAGCATTGACCAACCAAGGTCACCGAATTGAGACCTATACGTACCCTGTGGTACGGCAGACCATGTTCGATCAGTTCTCAACGACCAGAACTGGTCTGCAGGATCCCAACATTCGGCACTCTTCTCACAAGAAGGACCGCCATGGAAGAAGAGACCAACGCCGCAAACGCGGAGGTCGAAACTTCCTCATCCTCGATCAGGGTGAATACGACGGAGTCGATGGATTCTGGCTCCAAGACGAAGACACCCTTGAGGAAGGCTTTCTTGCCGCCGAGGATGAAGAAGCTGTCTTCTGGACAGTTGACGACCATGAAGCCTTCGTTGCAAGGAGATTCAAAAAGGGAAGAAGACCAAGAATGCGTCCCGGATCACCGGGAAGAGCAAAGGGTGGCAAGCGAAAAGGACGTGGCCGTTTTAGGTCATACCGCGGAAAAGGGAGAGCCAACCAGGCAGAACATGATCCAACTGATTCCAGCTATTTCGGTAAAGGTAAAGGAAAGGAAAAAGGAAAAGGTGGAAAAGGCAAAGGAAAAGGAAAGGACAAAGGAGATAAAGGAAGCTCCTTCAAGGGCTCAAAAGCAAAAGGCAAAGGTAAGGATACAGCTAAGTCTGCCTCCTTACAAGGAGACCAAACTGGATCTCCACAGGCCTATGAAAGTTCCACCGCACCGAGCTGGGATTCATGGTATGAGGACAGTTATTATACTGACTCCAGTTGGAATTATGCCGCTTATGACGATCAAACGTCTTATACATACTATGCATCACAAGCCTCACGAAGAAAAACACGGAGAAAGAAGAGAAGAAATCAAGCAGGATCATCAGGTAGAGGCACAGATCCGAGCGCGCACCAAGAACCCGTGTTCAACTCATCAGTGAGTTACGTGCCCCAGGTCTCTGAACCATCCGAGGGGCAAGGTGTGGAGACTGCAACAGCAGTGTTTCCGTTGCAGCACACCGTCCTATCTGCTCTCACAGAGCGGATCAATCTTGATAAGAGCCCTACCTTTGTCATACTTGACTCTGGTTGTACTAGGGCTATGGGTTCCCGCTATGCGGTGAACAGGCTTATCAAGGCCGTGAAGCAACGTGCCCCAGGCATGATTGATTTCACTTTTTCACCTTCGAACACGAAGTTCTCTTTCGCAGATAGTGAAACAGCTCTTATCAAGGAGCGTGTAACTCTATGGTTCAACACAACTCCAAGAAGAGATACAACCATAGAAGTTTTGGATCAGGGGAGAGTCCCCATTTTGTTTTCCATCGAACAGATGAGGAATTTAAGAATGACCCTCGAGTGTAGTCCCACAGCTGACCTAGCAACGTGTGAAGCTTTCGGTTTGTATAAAACCCCTCTTCCGATTAGTACCAATAACCATTTGGTATTGGACCTTCTAGGCTTCACTTCCACCAGGAAGTATCTCCCTAAGTCAGGTACGTCGTTCAGTGCGACGGAGACTGCTCTAGGAGCCAAGAAGCCTTATACTAGGATACCGGAAGGTCGCTGTCCAGCCTGTGCCGGACAGAAAAGGGCTCACACGTACCTCAAGGGTTGCGACAAAGCACCTGAGGGAGCAGCTGATCCACCACCGAAGAGGATTTCAGGTAAAAAGAAGCCTCTTCCATCTGATCCGGCAGAATCATCTGCCAAGAAACTTGATCCACCAGAACCATCTGGTGATGCTCCTGAGCCTTCCGGACCATCGGAACCATCATCAGGCTCTAGGGACAAACCTGCAGAATCCTCTGCACCACATGAACCTCCAGAAGAAGAAAGACTTGAGGTCCCACCTGCGAAGATAAAGACTCCAAAGGGTCTTAAAAACCTTCTGAAGAAATCCCGCAAATATGCGGTTAAACCTCCTGTTGAAGAGAAGTCTAAGGTCCCAGGAGCTGATGACGGGACGGAGGTAAGACCACTTGAGTCAAGAGAATACCCGGCTCCTGGTACAGACTCACCTACAGGTGAAGAGAAGAGAGAACCATCGCCATCTCTTCCCATTGCTCTTCGCAGGATTCATGAGAAGCTTAAGGACCCTGTAGAACTCTATAAGCTTCACCTTAAGCACCGTCATATGAGTACGGATCAGTTCAAGCGACGCACAAAAGCCTTACAGATCCCAAAGGAGATATACGAGCTATATGACCAACTGGTCAAAAAGTGTTCAGCCTGCCAGGAACATGTGAGAGCTCCTTCAAGAGCGAAGATTTCTGGTTTAAGATCAGAGACTTTCGGTGATCTCACCTTCGTAGATCACGGTGAGCTTCCAATTCCCGGCAAGGATAGTCGCTTAGTATTTCTTATTCTCTATGATGGAGCAACAAACTTGTTGACTGCCGAAGTAGTCCAGGATAAAGAAGAACATACTACAATGTCGATTATGAATGACTACTTTGAGAAATTTCAGATCAACCCAAAGGTTGTAGTTGGAGATCAAGCATTCATGACTCCAAAAATGGAGGCTTATTACAATCGGCAGAATATCAAGCCTGTGGCAACAGGACCTGGAACACCATGGCCCAACAGGGCCGAAGCTGCTGTAAGACTGCTGAAGCATCAGATTAAGCTCATACTTCAGATCCTGAAGGATGGTGACCCGCAGTATAACGGAATCACCATGAAGTATGGCAACCTCGTTCGCCAAGCATGTTTGGCAAGAAACTCTTCGATTACCTACGGAGGAGTTACTCCTTTAGAAATGGCCTTTGGAAGGCGTCCTCGAGATGTTATAACACCAGAGAACGCTGATCCCAATCAGTTGACAGGTAATCCAACTGATACGGAAGTCACTGCGAGAGCCATTAAGGAGCTTGCCAACAGGGCTTACCAAGAGGCACGCCAATCTGATGATCTGCGTAGAGATCTTGCAGCCAGACTGTCAATGACCCAAGGACCTTTCTCTTTGGGAGATAAGGTTTTCTACTGGTCAGAAGATAAGTCTAAGATTGGATCCACTGGGTCCAAACATGGATCTTGGCTAAAAGGAAAGGTGATCTCCGAACTCGGAGGATCCATGGTAGGTGTGGATCTTGGAACACGCATCGTCCGCGTCAATATCTCAAAACTGAGGAAAAATTATGACATAACATCTGATGTGGAGATTCCTCTCGCGCCTGATGAGGAAACTCTGACGTCAGAAGGTTCTGACCACGCAAGTTGCATGGTCACCTTCGATGCTTCCCTGCAGTCGACAGACCTAACGGTTCCACATCAAGAGTGTCACTGGCAGGTCACCAGCACTGGGAAGATTGACTTCCTAGAACTCTACGGCGGATCTCCCCGCATGAGTCACAAAGCTGCCCTGTCAGGTCTGCGAGTAGGTCAGCCAGTCGATTTGCGTAGCGGTCTAGATCTTGAGCAACCGCAAGGTCGCTCCAATCTTCTTAGGATCATCAAGGAACAAGAACCTACTATTATTGTTATGTCACCGGACCATTCTCAGTGGTCTAGCTGGTACTCACAGTGGAAGAAAGGCTCTGCCAAGAGACTTTCTGTTTT